CTCTGTCTTTTCTCTCTCCTCTCTCTCTCTCTCTCTCTCTCTCTCTCTCTCTCTCTCTCTCTCTCTCTCTCTCTCACACACACACACACACACACACACACACACGTATATAGCAGGCTCCAGCCCAAAGTTGTATCTTCCATATTTTTCTTTCATAGCAGATATTGGAAAATTAATGTTTTTGAACTACACTGTCCAGAATTCATGAGTCAACATGCCAGTCCAAACAGTCTGAGAACAGCAGTCCAAGAAAACAACTTTGTTAATCTCTGCTTCCTAGTAAATATAAATATGTTAATCTCCCATGTACAGTTACAGAGATGTGAGACTCATAAGTAGAAAATATATATGAATAAACCATTCAAAGAGGCATGTTATACTCCCCCAAAAAATGCATATGGAACTAGTTCTTCCCAAAGGACATAATAACAGGACACAAACACCTTATTATGTTGTCTTGTAGATATCATAGTAATTTATGTTATCTGCAAGATCTAATCAAAGTGAATGATTTGCTCACTGGTTCATACTGAGGTGATTCTTGAAAAATAATTGGTCAAAAGAGTTTGTATCTCCAATTCTATCAGGGCTAGAGAATCTGAGAAGTTTGGGATTTGGAACAGCTGATTGTCTCAACAGGCAGTCAGGTGGCGTGTCTAAAATCTGGGCAAAACCCAACGAGCCGGGTAATATGGCAACTCCACATATGAACTAGATCACCCTGAAACAAATCCAATTTGACATCATTTGAGTTTACTGTTAGCAAATAAAAGATTGCTGTGAACCTTAAAAATGGAGTGGCATGATTTTATGGCATACTATCGCATTTTAAATTAGAGAAAGAATGGTACTTCTATGAAAACACAAGCTAGTGCAGTGGAAGAGATTAGAAAGTTCCTTGTCAGGATCTCAAAATAAAGCAAAGGGAAGGTGTACTAGAAATACATAAGAGGCATACAATTGTGGTCCAAAATTATAAATGTCTGTTCCTGAGACTACACTCTACTCATCTGAAGAAGTGGGCTACAGTCCACAAAAGCTAATTCCAAATAAAGCTTTTTAATCTTTAAGGTGTTCCAAGATTTTGTTGTAACAGAATATAGATTAACATGATTGTCAGCTACCTATCTAGACATCTAGAAATTAGTTTGATTGTCTAGACTATGCTCTGTATTCCCAAAATCTAACATAGCAGATCCCCACTACTATTAAGTAAAGTTCTGAAAAACAACAGAGCCCCTCAAAGTATGGGCTATTTTAAAATGCAGTAGCATAATTGGTTGGTTAGTGGTTTTGTTTGTTTGTTTTTTGCAGTGAAGCTTGAGGTGCTGTAGATAATAGGAACCATATGATAACGTGAGCTGTTACTTTGTTAGTAGTGTAGATATTTAAAGTATGGACTGTAAAGGGGGGGGAATCTGAAATTGCCTGAAATTAATAAATTGTGTAGCATGTGTCTGGTAAATCTTAAAAACCAGTGCACTACCTTTAGATAAATATTAACGTGCGAGTTCTCTAAAGATCCTGGTTACAACATCAGTTCTGTTTCCTGCATTGAAAACGTAGTTCATTCCCACAGAGAATCCACGTCTCATTTTCCCATTGCTTAGAAACACACACCCCCGAAAGTTGGAATCATGCATCTTAGTAAGTATTTCAGTTATGCTATTGACGTCAATGCAGTCATTAAATAGATTGCTGGCCCTCCCAGCACTGAGTGTGTGCCAAAGACCTAGAGGCAGACACGTTTTAAAAGAAGAACATCAAGTTTTCTTTAAGCAGCTCAAGAGGATAAGGTGAAAAGTTTCTTCCTTAATATCCCTCTGTGTTCTTCACTAACCCTGCTGTCTTTTGGGGTGGGGAGCTGTTACTTTTCATTCCTGAGAAAACATGATGGGCTCATTGAGGTGTTGTCATTCAGTTACTAGGTACATAAACAATTTTAAACGAGTGACTAAAGAATAATTTCTTGTGACCAGCTCCAACTGAAAAGTGATCCTAATTTTACATCTTGTAGCTCAAGAGACTTACATGTATCATGTAACGTTAGTCAGCCAAACCTTTTTAGCCTTTGACTCCAGACGTTCTTCAGGGATTGATTTCATGGGGTTGGTTAAAAAAAATAGATGCCATTTCTCCTCAGCGAGCCTCCTGTGGGCTCCGAAGACATGTAAGCCAATCACCGTTGCCTAGCAACAGATATAAACTGTTCCCCATCAGCCACACCTGTGGACCCTCATGTTAGGCATTCCACACGTGCTATATCCATCATGTGCTCGGCCATTCCACTCAGTCCAACTGCCATCTAGGGCAGCTGAGCAAGTTAACAGTGATGTCAGTGGGACTCCCCCGAGCGTAGTCAAGGAACCCTTCTGAGGTTCCAGTGAGGAGGAGGGCGAAGGAAGGACACTTCCAAGATTTGAGTGACCGAGAGATTCATTCATTATGTTAACCAGGGCAATGCGTACTTCCTAGAGCTGTCCCATCTTCCTTAGACACACAGTACAGGACATGCAGCTGTCCCAGACCGAATGGATTGGACAGAACAGAGTTTTCCTTTAAAAGAATCTCTAAGCTGTGCAAGTTGAGGATAGACCGCACCTCTAAAAATGTGGTGGACAACTTTACTCTTTGGTGGAAAAATCAGGTATGTTTGAGATAAAGGCAGAAGGTTGCTCTCTGGACATTAAACCCTTATTTTCTTGTAAATTGCCCTTTATTGTTCCTTGTCTCCCTGCCCGATCGTGTTTCCTTCTTCCATACATGGAAGCCCATTTTCTTTCAGAGTCTTTCCCAATATAAGCAGAAGGACTCCATTTCCCCACCCACCCCTACCCTGCTACTGCATCTGCTGAAACCAATCCACTAATCAACTTTTCCTCACAGCTCCAATGTAGAAAAATGGAACCTAAAAGAAAAAACAAACAAACAAACAACACTGAGCCTGATTAAAAGTGAATCTCAGGTTTATCAGATGTGCTTAACTGAGAAGATGGATAGCTTTCCTGCACTGACTTGTATTTAAAAGCTGGAGCTGCTTGAGTGCAGAGGTAATCTGTGATTTTTTGCTTTCTACTTAAAATCTCTTGTCCAAACGGCAATTTCATTCTACTCTTGTGATATGAGATTACTGTGGTCAGCCTTACTATTACTCAGTGTAAAGCAACTGCCTCAGGTAGAAAATGCAGGTGAAGGCATGTGTGTGTATGTACGAAGACACAACATTCCTCCTGAGTTCCCCAGCAATTCTCCTATACTGGACATAGCTGTGTGTGTGCCACATGCATGCTGTACTTCATCTGCTACACTAGCTTGTTGCTTTCAGGTACAGTGGAGGACAATGTCTCATTATCAATGCTGAACTAAAATTCAACCATCTGTGCCTTCCAGATGGGGGAGAGGGAGGAAATGTGATCTCCTTCTTTGCCTCAGGCTACAAAATGGTTTGGGCCCATCCTGGCTATTATTTCAAAGCAGCATGGTCCTGCCTTGAACCTGGTTTCACAGATCTGTGCCCGCTGGGGAAGGGAGAGGAATGCCAATAAGTACTCTGTATAGCCTGCGAACATAAGGGAAGGTTTGCACATGTCGAATAGTTTAAAAATCAGACATCAAACTCTGTGAAAATATATTCGAAATGCCATTTTTAAATGACATTTTGAAGCTAAGATTTAGAGCATGAGAATGTCTGTGCTGACAGCTGAGGATTCATTCAGGTTCTCAAGAAGACAGAAGATAAGTTACTTCTAGAATCTTTGAATTAACTGTGTCTCACACCTGCATTCTCCCCTGCCCCTCCTTTTTGTCACTGTGAGTCAAGAAAACTTAAGAGAAAGCTTGAAGCCATTGCATGATATAATGGATGCTAGCCAAATATCACAAAAAAAGGACAGAAGGTTTAGGGTTGTTGCCTTCTCCAGTCTGTTTTTTAACAGGGAAGATAAAAAGCTTTTTAATACCTTTTTCTCCACTATTGATGGCATTTAATTTTAATTTGATTTATTTTCACAAATTTTTGTCCTGTAATAGACTCAGTCTAATCAATAATTATTTCTGGGAGTTGACGTCCAAGAACATCTGGAGGCCCAAGGTTGGGGACCACTGCTGTAATAGACTCAGTCTAATCAATAATCCTGACTAGAATAGATTCATTGAATCACTGGACTTGCATAAGTGTTGGCTTGACAATTTACTTCCTCAATTATCCTTTAATTTAGTGAGTATGCTTTAGTTTAGATTTATTCATTTATTTATTTATTTTACATATTTAGATTTATACCCCGCCCATCTAGACCAAAGGTCTACTCTAGATAGTAGATAGATTCACCCACTTATCCCCAGATTAATGCACCTTATATATGGAGAAAGGACTTACATTAAAAACTTGATCTGATGGTTAAAAAAAGCAACAGTTAAGGTCTGTGTCAACATAACGGCTATATAGCATGAAGAGCAATCAGATAAAAACCAACAACAGTGTTTAACCAGCCATCTTGCTAGAATCCAGTGCCATGGAGCCTAATACAATAGTACTTGACAGGATGTCTGCTGGCATGGTAGGACATTCTACTGCCTTTCCTTTCCAGCCTTCTGTGCACTAGAAAATTAGATGTGCATGGCTTTTTAGATCATGCACGACCATTCTACTGCCTTTCCTTTCCAGCCTTCTGTGCACAACAAAATTAGATGTGCATGGCTTTTTAGATCATGCACGGCTTTCTAGAGTGGGATGCAGGGATCATTAATTCCTTCCCCTCCACTGTTCGAAGCAGCACTAGTACAGGGATGAGGATGTTAGATCCTGCCCACTGCTTGCCATTTTAATGGGACCTGTTTCTGTGGAATGGCAATTGACACCTTAGTTGTTGTTTTTTAAAGTCAGATGCAGGGATCATTAATTCCTTCCCCTCCGCTGTTCGAAGCAGCACTAGTAGAGGGATGAGGATGTTAGACCCTGCCCACTGCTTGCCTGTTTCTGTGGAGTGGCAATTGACATCTTAGTTGTTGTTTTTTAAAGTCGTCTTTCTTGCTTTTACAAACTGGTAGAAGATATGCTTGTGCTCCATGTGCTATAAACTCTATGTTTATAGCAGGGATGGTAACACAGAGCATATAGGCTGGTTTGTTTTGTCTGTCTTGCTGAAAACAAGGATTGTTGCCACACTGTGAAGCCTCAGGGGGGGCTATGCTATTCTAAACCAAGGCAAAGCCCTCCTTTAGGTAAAGGGTACTTTGTTCTTATTTAGTCTCTGGTTAAAATAGTAGCATCTGAAATCTCCCTCATTCATCACTAATTAGTAAAGGTAAAGGTAAAGGTTCCCCTTGACATTTAGTCCAGTCGTGTCCGACTCTAGGGGGCGGTGCTCATCCCCATTTCCAAGCCGTAGAGCCAGCATTTGTCCATAGACAGTTTCCATGGTCATGTGGCCAGCACAACTAGACACGGAACACCATTCCCTTCCCACCGTGGTGGTACCTATTTATCTAATCGCATTTTTACATGCTTTCAAACTGCTAGGTTGGCAGGAGCTGGGACAAGTAAGAGGAGCTGACTCCATCACGTGAATTCAATCTTACGACTGGTGGTCTTCTGACCTTGCAGCACAGAGGCTTCTGCGGTTTAACCCGCAGCACCACCACGTCCCTGCAGCACCACCACATCCCTAATTAGCTTAGCAAGAGGAGCTGACTCCATCACGTGAATTCAATCTTATGACTGGTGGTCTTCTGACCTTGCAGCACAGAGGCTTCTGCGGTTTAACCCGCAGCAGCACCATGTCCCTGCAGCACCACCACGTCCTTAATTAGCTACTCTAAAACCAGGGCTTATGCAGTAGCAATGCTGGCTATGGTAATTTTGTCCAAGCTGTTAAAAATATTTATCTCTTCCTAATCTGAGGTGAAAGTGATGTTAAAGTGGTATCTGCAGTGCTCCTTCCCAGAAAAAATGAACGAGGGATGTCTTCTGCATTGTCCAGAAACACTCTGGAAATGCTTATTCAGAATTACATTCAACTGTGTCCAAAAGGATAAATTCAAATGTTACTCTCAACTAAAGCAGAGACCTTTAGACATACACAAGTCTTGACTTAACAAGTCCTATTCAGCCTCCTTTAGTTCAGACTAAATAATTGGATTCAGTCCACTTAGTGCATTTAAGATTGCAGCTTTAATTATGGAGGCATAGCTTTAAATAATTACATAGATGTACCTTTTAATTCCTGATTACAATGTATGAATGTGAAGGCTGGACAGTAAAGAACTTTGACAAGGGAAAATAAATTCATTCAAAATGTAGTGTTGGAGAAGAACTTTACAGGTACCATGGACTGATCTCTATTGAACAAGTGGGATATTAGAAGAAATCAAGCCTGGACTCCCATTAGGTGAAAATGCTTAGATTGAGGCTATCAGACTATGGGCAGAACATGTGAAGACAAGGAGAAAGCTGAAGGCAGCAGTAGAAGTAGAAGACATAACGAGAGATGAATTGACACTGTAAAGGTTAATCACATATGCTGTAGCACAATTCTGGCGGCGAAGAAAATGCATTCTCATTTTGTTAAAGACCACAGTGTTATAAAATTGCTATTAGTGTGACTGGTGGATATAAGTGTTTGTTTTAAAGAATGTTATGATTGGACTGTTGAGAAGAACCTCGATGAGCTGTTTTAACTAACCATTTTTAAATTGGGAATTTTCTCTTACTGTATATTGTATATTGTAAAGGCCTTAGGTCATAAACAATAAAATTGTTGCTGCTATTGTTGACTCAGTAAAGGAAGCCACAGCTTTTAGTTGGCAAAGCCAATAATTGCAGAACTTATAGTGCCCACAGTGTCTCTGTAAGTTGGAAGCAACTTGATCGCACATCATCATCATCATCACCATCTAATATTATAATATTTCATTAGAAAATACTTAAGAGTAACATCCTTATGTTTCAAATTCAGTTTAAAGTTCTGGTAGCTTTTCATAGTCCCTCTTCCCTCAGAGTATTCATATGCATCTGGATCACAAGCAAAGAGATTTTATTGGGAGTTCATGTAAGATGCACCTAAAAGCACATTTTGAAAGAAATCTATCTGTCTTATGCATTAGATAGCCATTAATAAACAGCATGTGCTAGGAATCAAAGCATTAGAGAATGGGAAGTGGGAACACATTTTTTTCGCATATTTTGTAGATTATTTTTTCCTGTTATGAAGATTAATGACAGTATCCTGTCAATGCTCTGAATTTTTACACAGTTCTGCACTCTTCTCTTTTCAGATTTCTTTTCAAGGTGCAACATATGGCTATTGTATTATGACTGTGGCCTGAATTCTGTTCATTTTTTAAATGTGCTATAGAAGTACAAAGTCGTGGTAGCTAACTGAAGCTAATTTTAAAAACATGCAAACACCATCTTGCTTCAATTAGCCACTATGATTTCTATATGTCTGCTTAATCATTACATACTGTATTGCCAAATAAATTTAGGCCATCCTAATTTTTTGAAGTTCAACATTTTCTCCAAACTTTCACCTGACATCCACCCACCTGGACCATCCATGTACCAGGTGAAAGCTGCCTCAATTCTTTTATGCTAATGGCATAATCACATAGCATAATTGTGACTTTTATTTAGTATTAGTGCTG